CTATCATAGATAAATAAGAATAAATAAATAAATAAATAAATAAATAAATAAATAAATAAATAAAAAGAATTTGTTTAAAAAAAAGCTATTTTAGGAAGACTGTGAACATGAATTTTAACTAACCATACATGTAGTATCAGAAGGCATCTAACAATAATTGATATGCCATGAAACTCTTGAGTTAACCACATATTGCTGGTCTGTCAACTGTTTTTCTCATCAAATGCTATACAATATCAGTCATTTGGGCTTCTTAAGTCTTATAAATTCTGGGTAAAAAGGAGGTACTCTGAGAATCAAAAAGTGACAACACGGTCAAAATGAAAATGCCTGGCAAAAAGTAAAAAGCCCACACAGTTATGAAATTATTATGAATGCAATCAGAAGCTTAGTTAGACTGAGAACTCATTTCTCAAGAGTCTTTATTTGCCAAACTCATGTCTTATTCACATCATACTTCAATAATTAAGACTCCAACCAAAATCCAGTTTGTTAGGTATTAATGTAAGATGTTTATTAGTGAAATTTATTTAGCACAATGATCACATTAAAATGTCCCAATATACAAACTGTTGAAATCTAAGGTCACAAAATATATGAACTCAGGTACACGGATGAGATTATATAAAATATTATTTGTAAACAAAGTTCTACATCTTCAACATTGGGCCGAAAAAGGAAAAAAAAAAAAAAGAGAGAGAGAAAGATTACATATAAAAAACATTATATTTCAAGAGAACAACCCTGACAGATCTGGCAACCTCACACTTGGGTGTGACCACAATGGGGCAACACAGCATTTCCTTGCAGAACTGGCTGCTTCATACAAAGCTATATGTGAAACAAAATGAAACATCCAGGAGAAAGAGAGCTAACAAGATATACCACATTTCAGCTGACTAGTAGTAGAAAATTTCAATTCCATTAAAAAACACACACACACACACATATAATGGGGGGAAAAAGTCAAACAAAAACAGCAAAATGGAAATAAAGATGGAATAAATCAAGGAGATGGAATGTGAGTGTGTCCCTTGACCACTGCCAGAGTAGAGCTGCACCCAGGCTTCTCCAAACACCTGTCACTTAGACAAGCTGTAGAGACTAATTAGAAGTGATAGAAAAATGTCATCCACGATCCTTAAAAAGTTAGCATTACCAGTTTTGAAAAGTTCCCTAGCCAAAAAACCAAAACCAAATCAAACAAACACAAAGAGAACCAAAAAACATACTGAACAACTGCACCACAAAGGGAAAATGCTACATTTTATTTGATGGGTGCTCTCCTATGGTACGAGTTTTCTTTCATATTTTATCAAATGCTTAGAAGGTAAGCATCAGCATTTCTCTCTAAAATGTGCCTCCTTTAAGTGTCTTTTCTCCACTAACTCACAGAAGTCATTACAGGGATCAGTCTGAACTACCATAATAGTCTGATTTTTCCAGCTCAAACGTAATTCTGTGTCAAGAGAATCTAAAATAATGTACATCTCAAAATCTTCCTCAGAACATCCTGCCAATTATTTATTTTAATTTGAAACAATCAATAAGTTGGTAATTATGATAACCTCCATAATCAGTAAGAGGACAGAAAATTAAAGAGTATTTCACATTCTGAATCTTAAACCAGAACTCCTCTAAGAGTTCAAAACATGGCCCAGGTTTTATATTCTATTTCTAAAAATCCAATCAAAGCTTATTATCTGAAAAGTTCCGCAGTACTTTTCCCAAATGGCTCTTCTAGGTTTTCTAGCTATTAGTGTGGGAAAATGAGGCATAAGAATAAGAAAGTCCCATTGGGACAATCTTCAGAATACACTGAGTATAAATGCTAATATACATGGTAAAAGTCTTCACATGTGGTCCACCAATCCCACTGGCATGCTGGCTGCCCCAGAGGTCAAAGGGATACCAGACATTATCTGAACAGAGTTCGAGTTCAATCTGATAACTATTTATTTCCTTAGAAAACTGATACGCTGGTTGTGGTTCTTCAGTGTACTGTGATGTATTTTCAGTCCCATGTTTTTACAGAAAAAGTTGTTTTCTTTCTGTATCAATATCCCAGTAGCCTAACAATACAGGGTTGCATTTTCTTTAACTTCTCAATTCTTGTTTTGATAGCTCATGACCATGTTATGAAAGTAACTTTGGTTATAAAATTTCATACACAACAAAAGGTGATCAGATTTTCAAGAGAATCTAAGCCTCTAGACAAATAAACCATAATTTCGTCATAGAAACAATTCCAGCCCAACTTACAAATAACAAAAGATTTTTTAATTTGAGGAAATGCTTTTCAATGTTCAATCAGAGCTACTCTAAATTGGAAAACTTTAAATTAAAATAGCTATCATTATTCAGATTTTTAGTAAGGTGGAGAGAAACACCTGAAAGATTACCCTTCCCTAAAAGCAAGCTCATAGAGGGAGAGAGAAGGGAGAGGGAGAGGAAAGGGAGGGTCAGCTGCAGTACTGGTGGACTCAATCCCTTTATGAAAGCACATGTTCTCTTTTGGTGTTACGAGATCCTGATTCATTTTGAAGATCTGAAAACCAAATGGAAAAGGCCAACTCAAAATATTTAAAGAAAAGAAAAACATGAGATTGAATTAAATGATGAAATGAGTTTTAAAAGAGAACACGAAACAAAAGACCTTAAGATGACCTTTATAAAATACTAAAATTTAAAAAAAGAATTCATCTTGTACTTTGTGCTCACAAAGGGAAAGGAGGTTCCATCAAGCCCTGCAGAGCACAAGAAGAAGCAGGTGGTTTGCTCAGGCATCAGCAGAAATAGGCCCCGAAGAACTACCCTCAGCTTCTTTTACACCGTGTCCAGGAAGGAAAAGCAAAGCTCTGCAAAATGCTGAAGGTTTTAGAAGTGTAACGGTGCTTAGGAAAGATCACTGGCCTGGTGTTGCAGCAGCCCCAGTGTGGAGAGACACGCTAGGCTTCTAGGAGGAGAAAAATAGAAAGGGAGGAAGAAGTAGGAAGAGGAAGGAAAGGGCAGAAAAGCACAGGTCATTAGTAAACAGCAAGTTCAACATGGCAAGATGCTCATAAACCCTTTATAGCTATCAGTGGAGAGCTGGTCTGCAATTAGGACTAGAGACAAAATCCTGAACAAAACAGCAATGGGAATTTTCAAATGGTACTGGGCTACGTGCTCTGCTTTAGTAATGGCTAAATTAGAATAAGGTCACAACATGCTCCAGAAACATGCACTCTCAGTCCCCCTCCCTGTTCCTTCCCCACCCCTGGTGAAGCATGCAGATTTTCAAGCTGTCAAATGCAGAATGCACACATCTTCCCAGGTATGCAAACTACAGTCTAACTGCTGCCATAATGTCACTGGGCAGTTCATAAATATCTGAGTTCTTTTTTGTCACCATGAAACTAAAAGTCTGAAAACAGTAAGGGCCAGGCTGTATGTTTTTCCAGTTCTTTTTTTTTCCCCCTATGCTATTAGGAATTGGGATGGGAAGCAACCAATACACAGAGTTTGTGCCTCTTCTGGTCATACTTGACATCTTGCTGGAGACAAAATATATTCTAACTTTGATAGCTATTTCCTTTCTGGGTGCAAATGGCACCGGCTCTTTCAACTGGCTCATCCAATCAACCTGCTCCAAGCCTTTCTTTTCCCTGGCATGCCCTCCTGGTTGAAGAATGCTGAACTTAACTCATTTTTTTAAAAGTTCACATTCAAGCTTCTCCTTTAATCACCAGGATATTTCCATACATGCTTCCTTACAACTGTATTACACAGATGACTTGGCTTTCGAAGCAAGCACAGAAACAGTCAATAATATAGCAAAGATGATCAAGGAAATAAAAAATTTCAGTTCACAAAACTGGAAGATAAAGTGGCACTTCTGGTTATTTTTATTTTTACCTTTCAAAGTAAAGAGTTTCTAAGTTATGAGCTGCTAATAAGGATGTCAATGTCACTGGGTTAAAAACTACATTTGACACAAATGGAAAACAGCCATCTGTAAATCTATGGTACAAAGATATATACAACATTTCCAAAGGTCAGAGAATAAAGGATAAATCCTGGATTAATTGCTATTGCTAACAGAAGGCTCTCTGGAAGCCTTAAAAACCAAGAAATTGTATGGCGGCTCAAGAAAAGTCTTCTCCAGGCTGAGGCATGCATACAAGAGAAACACTGACACAACCCATATCTAGTGCTTGCCTCCAATGCAGGAATGCCAACCAAATGTTATACCCCAGTTAAGAGCACACTATGTGGCAAAGAACAATTTACTTGACCATTACATGTCTTTTCATTTGGGTCAACAGTGTCAGCCTGATCACAACTGCAAAGTAAGTGCAGTTACTCACAAAAATACAACCTGACTCTCCTACCAGCTACCTAAGAGAAGATTTGCATAATACATTCCTATGAACCCTGCTACTGCTTCGAGAATTCTGCTCAATACAGACACATTGTAGGTCCGGGGCTGGTGCTAGTTATGAGGTGGGAAGCCACAGGAGCTCAGTATTAGCTGATGGGAGTATCAAAGCCCTAGTTCATGGGCTAGGAGTTAGAAACCGATTTCAAAAGTAACAGTTAAACAGGGGAAAAAATGAAAAGAAAAAGCCTGAAGAATTTTAATTTGCGGCTCACAGGTTTCCTAACATCAAGCCATAGAAAGTAAGCTAAGTGCACTGTATAAAAGAGCTGTAGCGGCCAAAGATCTCCAATATAACATATTTTGATGATGATTAGTCTGTATCTTATTATAAGCGTATTTTTAAGATTGATCCAGCTCTTGTGGATCAAACTACAACCAATAGTCAAGAAAAGTCAAAGGAAATTCACTCTTCTTTTCTGCTGTTGGAGATGTTATATGGCAGACGGCCCTGGATTTGTATACATCCAGCAAGAACAATAATACCTCAGAAATAATTCTTGTGACAAGAATTCAATCCTCATAGGAGCTCATCAAGGTGTTTACTGTGACTGTTTAGGGAATGCTGGGATCCGCTTACCTGCAGTATCATTGCCTTCTATTCCATGATCACCGTTGGCTAGCCCTGTTGGTTTCGATGGAGCACCTGCAACAACCACAAAGGATAATTACTCAAGGTGACAGACAGCAACAGGAAACACAGATTCGACGCTATCTAACCAGGTAGAATTCTGTCACTCTTCACAGCAGGAACTGAAAGCAGATAAAAATCTGTCTAAAAGTTAGACTCAATAAAAGGAAACCAGAAAAACAGAACAGAACAAAGTCATTCAACTTTATGATACTCAAACTCTACTCTATAGAACCACCCTTCTCAATAAGAATGCTGACATCTTTTCTGTTCTATAAACTGTCAAAGATTACCATTATATTCCGTAAAACCATTACGAAGCACCACAGGTTCTGTATCTGTGATTCAAATCCAATGCTACGAGGGCACAGGGCCATTTAAAACAACTCTCATGGGCAGCCCGGGTGGCTTGGCGGTTTAGCGCCACCTTCAGCCCAGGGCATGATCCTGGAGACCTGGGATCAAGTCCCACATCGGGTTCCCTGCATGGAGCCTGCTTCTCCCTCTGCCTGTGTCTCTGCCTCTCTTTCTCCCCTCTCTGTGTTTCTCATGAATAAATAAATAAAATCTTTTAAAAAATAAAAATAAAAAATAAATAAAAATTAAACAACTCTCATGGGACACCTAGGTGGCTCAGCGGTTAAGTGTCTGCTGTCAGCTCAGAGCGTGATCCTGGAGACCCGGGATTGAGTCCCACGTCGGGCTCCCTGCATGGAGCCTGCTTCTCCCTCTGCCTGTGTCTTTGCCTCTCTCTGTGGGTCTTTCATGAATGAATGAATGAATGAATGAATGAATAAATAAATAAATCTCTCACATAAAAAGTCCAGGGAGGGCATCATCATTGCTTCTGAGGGCGAGAATTACATGGTCACCAGTATCACTTCTGGAAGCAGAGAACAGTTTTTGGTTTTGTTCTTTAATATTAGTTATTCTAATAGAATACAGTTGTGCCTCATTCCCTAATAACTGAAGACGTTAAAAGCATCTCTACATGTGTTTTGCCATCCTTTTCTTTAGTGAACTGAATGGTCAAATTTTTTTATCATTTTCATTTGGGTCGTTTTCCTCTTAATTGAGTGTTGAGGATTCCTTATATATTCTGAATACCAACCCTTATCAGATGAATTCTACAAATATTTCCTCCAGCTTGTAACTTGGATTTTCAATCTTTTTTTTAAAGATTTTATTTATTTATTCATGAAAGACATAGAGACAGGCAGAGACACAGGCAGAGGGAGAAGCAGGCCCCCTGTGGGGAGCCCAATGGGGAACTCAATCCAGGACCCCAAGATCATGACCTGAGCCAAAGACAGATGCTCAGCCACTGAGCCACCCAGACGCCCCGAATTTTCATTTTCTTAACTTTATCTTTTGCAGAGCAGAAGTTTAAAATTTGATGAACTCTGGTTTTTCACTTTTCCCTCATGCCTTCTTAGGCTTTCAGTGAGGTTCTAAGAAATCTTTCTCTAGAGGCTCCTGGGTGGCTCAGTCGGCTGGGTGACCAACTCTTGGTTTCAGCTCAGATCCTGATCTCAAGGTTGTGAGTTCTAGCCCCACAGTGACTCAATGCTGAGCGTGGAGCCTAATTAAAAATCTAAAAAACTTTGCAGTGCCTGGGTGGCTCAGTCAGTTAAGCATCTGCCTTCAGCTCAGATCATGATCCCAGAGTCCTGGGATCGAGCCCTTCATCAGGCTCCCTGCTCTGCTTCCCCCTCTCCCTCTACTTGCTGTTCCCCTTGCTTGTGCTCTCTCTCTCTGTCAAATAAATAAAATATTTAAAAAATAATATATTAAAATTTTTTTAATATTTATTTATTAGAGATAGAGAAGAGAGAGAGAGAGAGAGAGAAGCAGGCTCCATGCTGGGAGCCTGACGTGGGACTCGATCCCAGGTCTCCAGGATCACACCCTGGGCTGACGGCAGCGCTAAACCGCTAAGCCACTGGGGCTGCCCTAAAAAAATTTTCAATAAAAAATTTTAAAAAGAAATCTTCAGGGGATCGCTGGATGGCTCAGCGGTTTAGCACCTGCCTTTGAGCCAGGGCATGATCCTGTAGTCCTGGGATCAAGTACCGCATCAGGCTCCTGGAGTGGAGCCTGCTTCTCCCTCTGCCTGTGTCTCTGCCCCTCTCTCTTTTTCTCTATCATGAATGAATAGATAAAATCTTTAAAAAAAGAAATCTTTGTCCAACCCAAGGTCATAGGATTTTTCTATGTTTTCCTCTAGAACTCTTATAGCTTTCAAATTTAGATCTCATACTGAGGCCTGTGATACATGATAAATTTTGTATATGATGTTAGATATGGTCTAGATTTTGTTTTGTTTTGTTTTTTTGAAGATTTTATTTATTTATTCATGAGAGACACAGAGAGGGAGAGGCAGAAATATAGGCTGAGGGAGAAGCAGGCTCCATGCAGGAAGTCCAATGTGGGACTCCATCCCGGAACTCCGGGATCGCACCCTGAGCCAAAGGTAGACACTCAACCGCTGAGCCACCCAGGCGTCCCTAGATTTTGTATTTTTGCATATGGACATCTAATCACTCCTCTATCATTTGTTGAAAAGGCTATCCTTATTCCACTTAATTGCCTTTGCATCTTTGTTGAAAGATCAACATCCATCCATATTACGTGTGGATCTATTTCTGGACTCTCTCTTCTATTCCACTGGCCTATAAATCTCTTCATTTTTCCAGTACTATACCATCATGATAAGTGAATCTGTACAGTCTTTAAAAGAAGTCATGTAAGTCCTCTAAGTGTTTTCCAAAATTGTTCTGGTTATTGTGGTTCTTTTGCTCTTCTATATCCTGAGTGAAATTGCACTGACTATACAGATTTACATAAAGATGTACAACCTTTTCTCAAAGGCTCTAACATTTCAGCAACCTGTCTAGTTCTGCAATCAACTTGCCAACCCAAGAGTTTCCCATGAGTCATTCTCAAGAAGCTAACAGGAGATATTTTTCATTAAGACAAATAAAAATCTAGAATGTATGCTACAAAAATAAAAAATGCAAGATTTTACTTTGAAAGACAAGAAACTACACTATCCACCCTTCTGACTCCCACAAATCCAAGGCAGAAATTTTTCACATAAACTCACTGAAAAGATCTTTCATTCTGTTATCTCAGATAACAGAGAAATAACTACAGAGAACATCCTAAAGAACAAGGGCAGCCCGAAAAGAGAATACGAATTAACCGGAAGAAAAAGGAAATCAAGGACTGAAAGACAACAGACTTTTTTTTATTAAATACCCACTATGAACGAGGCACCATGCTGGGGCTTCATGTACCATGTTTTACTTACCCAGAGAGATACTAAACGTTCTAGCCCATATTTATGCCAAATATGGGATAGAACATGTTTGGCATAAATTTCCTTTTACTCCCACAAAGTAAACTTATAAAATTTATTCTTTCTAGCTCAAGAAAGAATACATATTTTTAAAATCTGCCTCATTTTAAAATGCAGATTGTAAAATAATAAAATTAGATGTAGATTACAGGAAAATGCAAATCACAAAAAATATCATCTTCTGGTCATGAGAGTGATAAAAATATTTTTAAACTTAATAAAAGTCACTGTTGGCAATAGTGTAAGAAAACAGTTAATCTCCTATACCACTAGAGGAATATAAAAAATTGGAACATCCGTTTTGAGACAATTTGGCAGTCTATCAAATTTTGAAATATTTAACTTGACAATTCATTTTAGGTATGTAGTTCAGAGAAAGACATAAAAGTACACAAAAATGAATGTTAATGAGATGTTTATTATGGCATTGTTTAAAAAGTAACAAATACTGACAGATTCTCTAAATTGTGAAATAATATGTAACTTTAAAACAAATGAAGCAGCTTTTCATGTACTGAAATGGGAAGATGCCAGGAATAGTAAGAAAAAAATAAAAGCAAATATGGCATAATACCCTTATAAAACACACAAACACACAACACATGCATACACACACACACATAATAACAGGAAAACTATTACCAAAAAAGTATGGCATCACATTCAAAGAGAATAAATATCACTCAGGGAGACAATGTTGATATAACAAATAGGAGACTTTTTTTTTAAATTACCTCATTTCCCTCAGAAGGATAAAAGAAAACATCACACATCCATGAAATGAGAACAAGCTCCTAAATGAAGTGAATTATCTAATGACTGAGTAAAATCCTCTTCCAAGTTAGAGTTTCCAATTCGTTGCTCTCATCAAAATTGAAATAGGTCATAATATAGTTGTCTTCTGATAGGACACTGAAAATAATTTCTTTTTTTTTTTTAAATAATTTCTAATACTGACTTATAGAATTCTTAACATGCAACTCAAAGAATGGAGGATTTGCCATAATAAGACTTCCATTCCCACATACTTAACTATGTGAATAAACATTTTTGGCTATTAAGTCTATTAAAACAATAGGAATAGGGGTGGCCTGGGTGGCTCCGTTAAGCATCCAACTCTTGATTTCAGCTCAGGTCATGATCTGAAGTTTCTGGGTTTGAACCCCACATCAAGCTCCACACTCAGAGCAAATCTGCTTGAGATTTTCTCTTCTCTCTGCCCCCCCTCCCCATTTGCACGCACACTCTTTCTCTAAATAAGCATTTTTTTAAAAAAAAAGCAATAGGATTGAACGCCTGGGTGGCTCTCAGCAGTTGGGCATCTGCCTTCAACTCAGAGCATGATCCCGGATCCGAGAATCAAGTCCCACATCGGACTCCCTGAGAGGAGCCTGCTTCTCCCCCTATCTGTGTCTCTGCCTCTTTCTGTCTCTCATGAATAATTTTTTTTAAAAAGGTAATAAGAATAGAAATTACTAAATCTTCTTTCATCTTAGTAAAAAATAATGATCCAAAGATTCATGATCTGAGAAAAATGTTAGTCCTCATCATTAAGAAAAACACTTCCTTTTTTAAAAAATTTTTTTAATTTATTTATGATAGTCACACACACAGAGAGAGAGAGAGAGAGAGAGAGAGAGAGAGAGGGGCAGAG